TAGAACATCAGTAGCCGTAATAATCATTAATAGTTCATTCAAAGAACGAGATCTACGCTCACGATCCCATTGCACCAATTTCGCTTAATTTCGCTAATTCGAACTGAGCCACAATGATCAGTAAAGGCGTTTCTGGAGACGTTCAGGACAGCAGTAAGGAACTGCCCTGAAAATTGCCCAGCACACTGCCCAGGAACAGGAATTATGCTCTGAGTGACATTTCATTTGATAATCGAATATCTTATCTTGTCAACTCAGACACCATTAAAGCACAATGACTCATCGACGATGTTCTTTCGAGGCCCGCTGACTTTATGTTTCAAGGGGATAGTCATCAGTCTCAGGCAGCAATCATTTTTACTGATTGTCTTAGCACAATTCTCTTGTCAAACATTCAATTAGAGATATTGATCGCCAGAAGTCTTACCACTATTCCTACGGCTCTTATCTTATAAAAAGACTGCACCGATCATCCCAGAATGTGGTCAATCTAACTCGACAATGGAGAGAGAGGCTAGCAAAAAATATCACAAGAGGTGATTCGCCATATTAAAAGCAATTGCAAAGCCTCATAACAGCTTGCATAAGAGTCAGAGCTGGACTATTAATCATTCGCTAGTTGTAGATGCATCTTCTGAATAAAACATTTAGTTCCTCTTAAATGCTGTTCGCTGTTTTTCCATACCCGTGTAGATCACATCTGCTGAATTTAATCTCATTTAGATAAGTTCTGCCTGATAAACAAAGTTTTGTATTAAGGATATTATAACCGGTTCATGAACAATGTTTTGCATTTTCCTAATTAAAACTCTGTTAAAATACTTAGGTTACATTTATATTTAGTTAAATTCCATTGCATTTTTGAAGATGTTTTCTACATTTAGTATTATCAGGCGGTTATGCTATCAAAATAGTGGTAGACAAACGTGATTATGCACTAATGTTGTGAAAAATTGCAGCACCATGAAGGATTTATGCAAACTAAACAAAACATACAGGAAATATAAACTGAGGGAAGACATGCAAATGATTAGAATTACAAAGCGATTGTGGATGCGTGGAATGAAAACCGGCCACTTGTTCCATGCATATAAGGAACTGTAAAGTTACTTTCAAATCTATTTGTCGTCCTTTGTATGCGGTGAACGTTTAATTAGTAGTCAGTATGCCTCATCAGCAGCCGAGAGTTCCATACCAACAATTAACGGAGTCCGAACGAAGCCGCAATCATCGGTATGCGATAGGGTGGACTTTCGTATCGAGTAATACCCAGCGTAAAATCTCAACAGTGTTGTGTGTTTGGAAGAAATGAATACAGGATAACCAAATAAGCCGAAATCCTCGCAGTAGGATACACAATAGCACAACGCGACGAGACCACAGACACCTCATCCGCATGGCTGTGATAAATCGTACATCGTTCCTTTCGTTTGTTTGCACAATGATAGAGCATGGTTACAGATATTGTGCTGTCTAAGTCCACTGCTCATCGCGTCTGCTGCAACATGAACTGTGTGTAAGAGTTCCTCTACGCAAGATTCCCCTGTCGCTTAACACTCTGACAGCTCAATTTGTGAACCGAAATCGCTTCCAAAAATTGTGGATTTTTTTTTGGCATATTTTAAATCTATATATACTGGAGAATTGAAAAATGCACTTTTCCTTTCTAGAAAATATTTTTTATATAGATTTTTATCATGAGAAACTAAGTTGCCAGAAAAACCCAATTTCAGATGTTATCAAAAAAAAAAAAAAAAAAAAAAAAAAAAAAAAAAAAAAAAAATCTTTTTTTTTAAATAAATTTCAGTCGAATTACAGTTCATTTCTATTTATTGCTTAATATAAAAAAGTAAAATGTATAAAATTTAAGAAATAATAAAGCGCTGAGGGAAAAATACCTTAGAAATGTAGTTTAGCATGATAGAGTTCAAAACAGGGTTCAAGGCAAAGTCCAACTTCACAGTCTTTGCACAGATCCAATAAATCTAATTAATAATTTAATTAAATAATCAAGATAATCGCTGAACGTTTTCTAGCAGCCATTTCTGTAAGGAAAAAGCATCAAAAGGTGAAGTTTGAGAGCTAATAACCACGTGCCTTCAAATGCTGCAATTTAGTGGATAACTAACGATATCTTTTGGCCAAAAGGTAAACTAAACGCCTAATATTGCATATAATTTATTTCAATGGTTAAAGGGGGAAAAACGGGATCCGCTCCTCAATAAAGGAAGAAAAACATATGCCCGCGGAAATCGCGGGATGAGCAAATTTTGCTACATTTGAGTTGCCCGTGGAAATTGCGGGATCATCCCTCTGGCCTCATTCAATCACAAAGCCTTCGACTGCAATGGTCACGGCAACACAGTGCGTGTTCTGTGTCAACAAGCTGCTTTCTCCGATGAATCTTGCTAAAATCTGTATAATGAAGTATGAGTATAATGAAGTACGCTTCAGACCTTACAGAGGGACACGTCTGCTCCATAGTGTGTTATCCAGCCTCATACCGCGCAAACGCATGGCATCCTGGTGTGGGGAGCTATTGGGTATAATTATCGATCCAATTCAATGCAGGCTGCGGACAACTTAAATAATGATAGCTACATAAGGGAAGTTGTGGACCAGAGGTGTGGCAACTTATGATCTTTTTTCTTATTCTTATTATTTACATTTTAAAAACATCGATAAGGGAAATTTTGCTTACCTTTCTTAATAAATATCCACAGGAACGCTTGGAATTCCTTTTCATTTTTATCACACAGAAGCTTTATTTACATCTATGTACAAGAAGAGGTCTTCCGCATTTTTCGACTCATTCCGGCAGCTGTATTTCAGCAGGATAATACCCGTGCACATGTTTTTCATTTCATTTCATCCATGGCTTGTATAGTCCCCGCATATGTGGCCCATTCAGCATGTCTGGGATTTCATCTGTCGGGAACTCGCTCGTATAGTTGTTGGGCACATACAAAGGCTGAACTTTGGCGTCAAGTCGAAGCCATATGAAATGCCCTTCCCTCTGATTACGCACAGAACCTGTATGATTCAATGCGCGAGCGCATTGAGTCATACATGTGATTCGTGTCAATAAAAAGTGAAAGATCCGTGGTTAGTATCTCAGCGAACATTCAGATAATTTTTCCTTTTTCGTATTCGAAAATACCTGATAATATGTTCATGTTCTTCTAGTATTTTATATCATTTATGCTCTAGATATATTTGCTATGGAAAATATATTTTATATGCAGGTAAAAATGTGAAACACTTCTCTTTTTCTTCCAATATATTGACTGGCTTAAATATTTTAATGGAGTACTCAGTGATAAAGTCTACGGAAACCAAAGCTTAATTATTAATGATATTGATTACATCAAAAAATTCGCTAGGGCCATCGAGAAGGAAAACAAGAGGTAAGACAAATTTCATATGGGCTATAATTGTTAAGAATTGTTAAGAAATCACCTATAATTGTTAAGAAATCACTTTCTAAAAAATAAGAAGTTAGCGATCTAAAAGAATAAAAGAGACCGATACTTAAACGCGAAGAGATAAGACAGAGGAATTAAACACCAGTGTCATTTTATCTAACAGTTTTGGCTAATAATAAATTTTATTAAAGGAGATAAACATCACTGTCATTTTGCCTCTTAATTTATTTGTTTAAAAGATTGAAATTTAAAAAGTTTCCATTTTGGTTAGCAATTAATTTAATAAAGAAAGAAAAATTAGAAACAGCTGTCATTTAATTAGGAAAGCTAAGTTAAAAAAGTTGTCATTTAATTAAGAAAGATAAATTAAAACAGCTGTCATTTGATTAAGAAACATAAATTAAAAACATCTGTCATTTAATTTGATAAAGAGAGAAATGAATTGAAACCAGCTCATTTTCGATTAATCGCTTTAAGTCATTCTAATGAGAAAGTAATTAGTCCTTGAAATTAGAGTGAACAATATAATTTCGAAAGCAATATTTTAAGTTTCTAACTTCATTTTCGTAAAAAAGTTGCAATTTTTTAAATAAAATCTTGTTTATATGATAAGTGAACCCAGAAAATGTTCTACAGTTTTTGAGATATTTACTCAGAACTTTAAGTTAACGAGAACAGCTTTGGATAATATCAAATCATCAAGAAAATGCAAGAAACTAACTTTCTTAAAGAAGACTATTTGAAACGATAATTGGGGAAGAAATCGGGAAAAGAGGGAGAAAATACTCTAAAAAATCCCAATTTCTAAAGGGCGACTGTGGATGTGGGGACTCAGTCGCCAAATCCTGGTGGTGGCAGATTATCGTTCACCACACATTTTAGTTTGGATTATTAGACTTATAGAGTAATTAGATTACATCAATGCATGAACCGGGGCGATGAAATAAGAAATACTTTCACCGGTATTCGAACACCCGAACTCTAGCTTGCCAATCGGACATGTTATCTAGTTACACCTCGAAGGCACGCGGTTAGGAGGGAGAAAATACTTTATAATCTGAATATTTTTATCATTTAAAACAGTTTTGCATTTGTAAATGTATATCTACAACCAATGATCGCAAAAAAAAAAAAAATTAAATTAGATCTTTTAAGGGCACGGTGCATATATATTTGTTCCTAATAGAATATTCATGTAATAGCCCTGAATAGTTAGCAGTGAGCCCTAGAATGTCTTCAGTCTGCATATGTTCTTCGCTAATATTTCCCCCCACATTCTTCTTTTTTCACGTGAACTCTTTTTCCTTGAAATATTTAAATTAATTGCTCTTCGTAAACACATACATTTTATTTTTAATATCCCTCAAAATATCATTCAGAAAAATTTCCAATTAAATGCATAGAAAATATGTAAGAAAGTAAAATTCTAATACAATATCAACAATCTGATAGTTTTCTGTTCCCTTTTATTTCAGGGATGTGGCCAATTATATGCTTTGGAGAGTCGCTCACGAATCATTGCCCCTATTGTCGAAGGAGTGGAAAACTTTTAATGACAAACTACCAAAACCTGAAGAGCACCAACCAGAAGTCCACGAAGAACAGCCTCACTGGAAACAGTGCCTTGAGTTCTTATGGATAACTTTGATATGGCTGTTAATACTTATTATCAGCGACGGTACTTTAAGAGTCACACCATTCATGCCGTAAGTGTGAAACTTATTTATTCTCAAAACAAATGTTGTAAAGGTTATAGTAAAATGGTTCCTAATTCCATACTTTCGAAATCCTCCGGAAATTCGGATATTTTGCTGTTCTTTCTAGAACATTAACAATAAATAAAATTTTAAAATGTGAAACAAAACAGATGAATCTTTTGAACAATTTTGCATTAAAATCATAAATTTATTACAATCTAAAATGACAGAAATTGGATATGTATAATATACGAGGGCAATCCCCCAAAAAAAGGTCTCCTATACTTTTAGATATACAAAGAACCGTTTATTTTCTATAACTGCTACATCAAGATTGAAGAATGCTTTATTTTTCAACATAATCGCCATTTCGGTCGATGCATTTTTGTAGACGCTGTGGCAATTTTACAATGCCCATGCATACCAGCTTCCCGCCATGCCCTTCAGGAAGCGTTGAATCAACAGTTCAATCTTCAGAAGAATCAACCCGTTGCCGTTTGTGGTCTTCTGTCAGCATACGTGGCACCCATCTTGCACACACCTTCCGATATTGCAACTTTTCCGTTAAAATCCTGTGGATGGTGCTTCTGGAAACCTGAGGAACCAAAATGCAGAGAGCATCCAGAGTGATCCTCCGATCTTTACGCATGAGTTCCTCAACTTTCGCGATTGTCTCGTCGGCAATTGATGGCCTCCCGCTCCTTTCTTCGTCATCAATTTCAGTACGACCGGCTGTAAACTCTCTACACCACTTGCGAACGTTTTTGACATCCATGCACGACTGTCCATACACTTCCGTCAATAAGCGGTGAATTTCAACCGGTTTAACGCCTGTTGCGTTCAAAAATCGAATAATTCGCACTTGGCGGTAACGTTTATCGGGAGCTCCATTTCGAATGGCTGCCATGCCAAGACTGAGCATCCGAACGAAGCGCCTGCGTGCTTATGTGATAGCGAAGAAGGCACTACTCACAACAGTGTTGCCAACAACCGTATTAAAACTTTCTCTACGTCCCCAAAAAATTGGAGACCTTTTTTTTGGGATTGCCCTCGTACAACAGGTCCCTAAAAGTCACTAAACGGCCTTTAATTTCAAAACCGTTGATCATAGATATTTGATTCCAGTTACAACAAGCCTCCATGTGATGGCAAATATGTTTTGCACTTTTAAGGTAAAAAAAACACAGTTTTGTAAAAAATACAAAATGTTAGTTTTAATATGATCCCCATTTCCTATTCATTAAGAAAGAGTATTTTAAGAGACAGTAGGTATTTTTTGGAAGCAGGCAAGACGAAAAATTAGCAATCGCCTTCACCGGGAATCGAACCACGGACCTCTGGAATACCGGCCCATCGTGCAGAACCACTACACCATGAAGGCACGCTAGGAAGGCGGAAGAAATACATTATATACTTCCCCTTTTAAAGGCCGACTGGGGTTTTTATGGGACTCAAAGGCCAAATCCTGGGTGAGGAGAATCATCATCCACTACCCTTTTAGTTCGCAAGCCCCTGTAGAGACCTGTAGGGCCTGACTTATGATGCAACCGTAAAGAACATTCTCCAAAAGAGATAAATACCTGACAGGGAGAGAACACATTGAAGCGCTTTGTTTCTAAAATTGAAAACCAGGTAGGTCTGGAGACTGTCGATGTTGGTAGTCTCTCAGAATTCACGCATTTGCAATGATATAATATCAAACCGAATAGTAAAAGCACTAGAGAATTCTGTTCTCTCATTGGTCATCCTCACTGTTTAGTGTAGTACGCTGAAAATGAGCAGCGTAGGGCCTAAGAAATCTATCTTTCTCGAGAATGTCGTACTCCAGGATTTCTGCGAAATTTTCTGGGTTATTTCTTAAAGTTCGCTCATAAAATCATCCATTAATTCGTGTGTTGAAATCTTAGATTGATTCTGTTTTTAGATCCCAGTGCAGGCTTCTGTTCTTTATAAAATACGGTGCACCTGTGATAATTCTAAGAGCTTTATTTTGTAACACCTGAAGTTTTTTGTAGTGTTTCTAGCTGGCAGTAGTCCAGGCGCGACACGAATAGACCTAATATATGTGATATAGTAGATTCTTCTCTTCAAACTGATAGAAAGCTTATCAATTTTAAGCAGTGGGAAAAGTTTGATCATTATTCCGTATGCTTTTCCACATACTTTGGACATGAACCAGCCTTTTATTTTCCTGTTAAGGATTTAGTTTAAGTTTATGAATATAAAAAGCTACATTTATTCAAATTTTGGTACTTATCAACAGTTTCTATGCTTTTTCTTGTTTAATTTATAAAATACATTAAAGTAATTGAAATGTATATATATATTTGAGTCGAGGAAAGGAAGGGGGTGATCATTTAGCAATGGTTAAAGGGATGCATGAAGCAAAATGATGAAAACCGCTGTTCTAGAAAATTATGGGAAAACACATTGATTCAATGCTAAAAGTATAGGGAGTATTTTTTTTACATCAACCAGATATCGAAGTTCACCGATATTTTCCGTGTGAAATACATCAATCATGCGTAGTGATATAGTATTACTGGCTTTGGTGCAAGAAATAATGCGACTTTTTTAAAAATTCTTCCCTATTCTTAAGTTCCTACTATTAGCTCACAGTTTCCTTACATCTTGTTAAAATTTTCAATAGTTAATAAAACACTTTTTATTCATCCACTCAAGCTCAAATACATTTTTTTAAACTTGTAGTGGATGACTCTTGATATTAATACAGTTTATTCACACATTCAAGTCAATTCCTACTTATTTATTTCTGTTTATCGGAACTAAAGATATGCTCTTTTTATTAAATATATTATAAAACTTACAAATAATGACCCTTTATTAGGAATTCTCACGTGCTGTAAAAATTAATTTTATAACAACTATCAGGTTCTGTGTTCCTCCTTACTTGCTTTGGGAACATTAAATGTCCTGACTCGGAACAGGGAGCTTACTAAAGCTATGTTCAATAAATTTGGGAAGTAGACAATACACACAGGAAGGGTATACGAAACCCTTTATTTTTCTCTCTTTACAATGATTTCCGGACTTCGGAATACAGAGACCAACCACTTGTGGTCTGAACGTAAGAATATAAAAATATTAACTAAACTCTAACTAAACTTGATTAATCCAAAGTTAAGTGCCTACTCCAAGATTGGCCGTATATTAGCAAAAAGCCGTATGTAGTACAGAGAACTGCTAACACTACGATACGTTAAAAATTATCAAGAGGATTAAACCTCTGGCCTTGAAGGCAACCAGCAACCGAGTAACACTACTATGGCAAGCGGTCTGCTTCTAATAGCTCCTTCCTCTCTCTTGCTTGGCAAAAAGCCACAACTTAAGTACTTGGCGTTCGCAAGACAAATTTGCATAAATAAGTTAAAGCTTTTAATTCTGGCCGGAAGTAGAAAATAAGAAGTGATAGTAAAAATTTAAAATAAAATAAACGTTAGTAAAACTTAAGATCCTTACATACTTCCCGCCAGAGTTAATTAGTTTGAAACTGAGGTCTAAAACGACCTTGTTGAAAACTTTTAGCTCTAGAATCTAACGCGAGGCCGATCTTTTACAAACATTTCTCACTAGAAACTAGAAATTTAAAAAAAAAAAGTCGTTTTTACATTATCAACTCCATGGACAATTACTTTTCATCTGTACTGCATCTAAACAGGAGTTCTTAGTTGAAATCTGGTAAGGAAAACTACTTTAATGAAATGTTACACAATTAAATGGCAAGTAACATGAAATACTTATATTTCTCTTAACATTCTTATTTCATTTATGACGTTATTTAATTATCTCCCCGTGCTCTCTGACATGTGTTGTAAAGGAAAACACCAAACACGAACGTGTTTATGTACAAGTGTTCAACACTACCGCCTGCAATCAAAACACTAACGTGTTAAAATTCAACATAACAAGACCTCATAACACACCTTATATTCATCTCTAAACCCTGAGGTACTATTCTGAAAGTGGCTAACTCTGAAGTGTGGCGTCAGAGAGCCTAACTACATTCATTCAACCTTTAACACATATTCACAATAATTTGCTCTTTTTACAGTCACACGAATAAATTAAAATTTTTGGCATTACTTTCACTTTTAACATATCACAGTATTTCTTAACGTTTAAAAATAACAGTTCACATTGTATATAAGGACATATTAACATGCCGTTAATTTTACGCATTTTAAAACATACATTAGTAGTACATTGTTAACTTCTATTCTTTTCCAAGCAAGTGCCAAATCTTCTACATTGAAATACTACATTTCAAAAGTCTTTCAGACTAAAACTTCTTTCTTGCCAGAATCTTTTAAATAAAATTTTATACAATAAACTTTTACAATATTCAAATATTTACACACATTCCTATTATACATTAATTTTAGTTTTACTCGCGAGTAATTGAAAAACATAATACCAAAATAGGTAACAACTCATTTCTCGCCTTTTTGGCGATAAAGGTAGACCTCACATGAGGTAAAAACGTCTTGAATTCTGCAACTTGCAGTAAGAATGAAAGATTAACTTAAGGTTTCAAAGTAACATAAAGTTTTACTTATCTTTGTGATATTCGGACATCCTTTTTTCTGCCCAGTCCTGGAAGGTAGCGAAGATTACGGTTTGGTTTATCTTCCTTCTTGTGCGGGTTCGCCATTCAGTGCCTTCCTCCATGAGCTTTCTTTTCCTTCCAGTTTGGTCACCCTTGAAGACCTTCTTTTTAGCCTCTGCCTGTAGTCTCGGCCATTTGATGGCAGCTGGTCTTGGCGGAACCGGGACAACTCTCTCTCGTTCCTGCTTGGATCTCGTTGCTGGCTGTTCCAATTTTCCTTGTTTCTTTGCCTCCGCAGCTGGTGTTCCTTCATCAATTCATCGACATTTGCTGCGTAGACTCCTGTCCGATGGGTAGATCTTCCGTTTTGGAGCCGGGTTATAGTTGCCGTCCATTTCTCCTGGCTCTCTTTGCATTACGTCGTAACTTCTCCCTTCTTCAT